GCTTAACTTTTCTTCTGCTAAGTCTCTGAGTCATTCTCTTCATAAAGCACCTGCACACATTTCATCTTGTCTTAATTTGAAAACTATTTTCTGCAGTCGAATGTAAAACTTTTTGTTTTTTCATATGCTTCTATAATTAGGTTAAATTTGGATGATTCATGATGTTAAATGATCCTCAAGGCCATGCTTCCGAATTCTTCAATAGTACCTCATTAAATGCAAACCAATAAAATGCAACAGCTATTGTGCACAAAATATCTCAAGGTCTTCTGATTCTCCCTGCATATCCTAGCACAACACTGGCCTGGCTAGACAGCTCTATCTCCTCACTTTGTATGTAACATATTAAAAAAACCTCTCTACCTACAAAGTAAAAATTAAGAGCACAAAGGAGACAGCAGAGGAGTGAAAACACTCATACAAGCAGTAAAGCATCAAAAAGACGTGAGTTACAGAAAGTTGGGTTTGCATCCTCCAATTTTGGACAAGCTGCTGGACTGGAATCATGTTTTTATTACCTGTCTGTGTGCAAGATTCTATCAAAAACAGAAGTAAGGATTTGTCTATGGAGCCATGTGACATAGCCATGAACATCCAAGCTGTATTTTTTGACAGTTGCAAAGCTATAATATAGAGCTCACTAAAGTCCAGGAAGGCATTATCATGCACTGCCACAAGGAAAATGGAATAGTTTCACACTACTGCCTCCTACAGCATAGTGCAAATCCATGATATCCATGTCAGAAGGCACAACAGCTGGATGGCTTGTAGCAGAGGAGTCCAAGCTGCCTTTAAAAGGGTATGTGACCAGAGGGTTCTGCACTCCAGAACATGCCTGTAGTATTGCACTGTTTTCATTGAGGTGGTGTGGGGACACAGGTGAAAGTTTCTAGAAAAGAGCCTGCAGGACCTTGTTCCTCCAGGATGTCCTCATCTGAGGAACAAAGATGAATCATTAACCCATTAGCACGCAAATTTATTTTTTCCTTCCTGATGAATCACTTACAAGGATGTGGAATAGCCCTGGGGAAGTCCCTGGGCTTGTGAAGGCTTTCAAGGCACTGTTACAGAGATTCACCAAAAGAGTACCCTACTCTCCATGTCTTCGTAATCACAACCCACAACCACTGGAACACAAAAAAAATCTCTACTGCTTATTTATTGCATTATGTGTGGCAGTACTTGAAAGGAAAAAATGAAACAGTTTTTCAAGATACACAGCATCTCTTCCAGTTACCCTTTAATTTATTAAGCAGGTGGTCTGAAACACAGATGCAGTAGAATACCCACTCTTGACATTGCAAAAGAAAAGAGATTCAGAAAATACAACTTGCAGAACACCATTCTGATTTTTTTTTCCCTCAGCCCAGTACGGAGACCCAAACTTTCCCTCCCAAGATAGCTGAGTTCAATTGCAATGTGTCATGTATAGCAAACACTTGTTCAGTGCACACACATGGGTCACTGGGCTGACCTGGAAGGTTGCCACTTACACTTCAGTGAGCTGGCTGAGGTGTAATGTACCTTTCCAATAAACTAAATTACACTGCTTTACTAGTGATTCCAATGCAACTTCTGCCTCAAATGCACTCTTTTCTAAACCATCCGCAAAACTGAAATTTGTGTGCACTCTGCTGGCTCACTTTTCAATCATGGAAATGTACTTTCCTTGCCTTGACAAATGCAAGCTGATCTCACTGTTATCCATTTAGAACACGGTTGGAGATGGCACCTTTTCAATCCATGCCACTGACCATGCCTTCTCCTACTTTTTAACTTTCTCCTACTTGTCAGAGATATTCCTTCTGGCCTCTGCTGCCATGTGGCACCTAAACCCACCTGATGTAGAAGAGGAAATTGAGTCTTTTATGTCAGTTAGCAACAGATGCTCTCAGCCAGATCTATGCATTCCTCTTGCTTTTTAGCATCTCATAAGCAACTGCTTTCCCAGGTAGGACCAGTGCCATGGGTTGAAGATCTGTGATGGTGCTCCTCTCTGTTCTGGGACACATGACAGCTGTCACCACCAGCTAACAGTGACATAAGAGGAAGCAAAGGTCACCCCACAGCGCTGCAGCATGGACTCACTTGGGGTTTTGTGGGCTTGATTCACTGGGGGTGTATCAGCATTACCATGATTACTTTTAAAAGGTTATAAAATCAACTCAGAAACTTCTTAATGGTGACATGTGGTTCTAGCCAGGAAGCAATTTCTTTTTTCCCCAAGTGAAATTTTTCTTTTAGAGCATATTTTAAGTGACATAAAAGTAAGATCAATTGCTATGCTATATTGGCCTTGGACACATTTTCAGATTTCTAATGGCTTTAAACTAAAAATCACTTGTCTTTGGTAAGTGATTAATTAATTATATTTGAAAATTATATCTGTCAAGATAATGAAGTTCAAAATTAACTGCTGAACATAAAGAATGTTTTTCTGTCTATGCAATTTTCATAATGTTTAAAATCCTGGATGATAGAATGATTCCAGAACATGAGCTAAGTTTCAAGGGAGATATTTTCCTTAAATTAAAAAAAAAAGGAATTTTCTACATTGCTAAACCACTATCTGAGATGGTCTGACTAGAGCACTGTTGAGTGTTAACCCTGGGAAGACGTCTAAGCCACACAAAACCACTTACCCATCCCTTTACAACAGGATGGGGGAGAGAATGTGAGGTGTAAAAGTGAGAAAACTTGTGGCTTGAGACAAGGACAGTTTGATGGGTAAAGCAATGCCATGCAGAAACAAAGTAAAACAAAGAATTCCTTTAGTACATCCCATACGTAGCTGGATGTTCAGTCATTTTCAGGGAAGTCAGGCTCCACCATCCATTAGCAGTGCCTAGGGAAGACAAATACCATCAGTCTGAATTTTCTCTCTTCTTTCTCCCAGTTCCTATCACTGAGTACAGCATCATATGGCACGGGATACCCCTCGGATCAGTCGATGTCTCTCGTCTCATCAGTGTCCTCTCCCAACCTCTTGTGCATTCCCAGCCTGCTGGCTGGTGGGATGGAGTGCGAAACAGAGAAACCCTCGATGCAGAGTAAGCACTGCTCAGCAACAACTAACACATCAATAGTGTTCCGGTCACTAGTCCAAAATACAATACCGAACATAAATTACTATAAATAAAATTGTCTTATCCAAAAGCCGTACAAACATTAAAAGTTTCTGTAAATCTGAATAAAAATAAAATGAGAATAAGGGAAAGAGAAGTCTGATGAGTAAGAAGTTTCCTTTCTTCTTCTTGTTAGGCATATATCCTAGTGTCTTCCATTGCTGAGTGGCATTTTTCACCTGTCTCCATGTAATGTAGCACCATTTTATTTATTTGCTTCTGGATCTTTGCTGTTATCAGTCTTCCCCAGTCTTACCCAAAATGACAGAAACCAGTGAATAAAGAGTACTGAGAGAGAAACCAGTGAATATCCAGTACTGCTGGATATCTATGTGTCTTAGAAGAAATAGAACTAAAGCTAACAGCCAACCTTTTCCCATTACTAAGCTGAGATGAACACCTTAAATGCAGACATCTGAAATTCAGAAATTCACACGGTGTCATGAGAGTTAGAAAATTTTAATAAAGCCTGATGTGTATCTGATTTGAATCTTTCCTGTCCAGACAGAAAGAGAAACCAAGGGACAGTTATCTCAGAATCATTTACTGTTTTGATGTGGGACAAGACAATTTGGTGATATTTTTCTTACATTCAGCCTTCAAGAAACCACAAACAGAGGAACATATTTACTTAGCTTCTTTTGAGTGAAAAGAAGGAACCATTTATGTCTAAGCAGTCTCTATGGAGATCAAGGGTAGACTAATTAACTTTAACTTAATCTACAAATCACACTGACAGTCAGTATCCCACAGAAAAGCATTTCCCCAATACAGTGGCAAATTGGTAAATAATCACCTCTTCATACTCCTTTCATTTGCCACTCTCTTCTCTATTTTTGTGTAGGGATGAAGATAAACTTTCTGTTTCTCAGCAGAAGAGGGACACGTCAGTTAGAACTGATTGGGAGTAGCGTAGTTTTGGATACATAAGGATGAAATTTGAAAAGAGGCTTTTCGTCTGTCTGGATAGTTACTGAGACTCCGGATGTAATAAAGAGTGCCAACGTGATGGTGACTAACTGATGATGCTTTTCAATATAAGTTTCAGAAAGAAACAATGCAGTATTGTTTCTGTACTTTTAAAATGAAAATCCTTCTCTTGTTGAAATCAATGGGAGTCACACACTTAACATTCTGCTCAGATATCCTGTTCCCCTGAGTCATCCAGTAAGACTGCTAAGCATTTCAAATTATGAATTCCGTATTCAAAGACAAAACATATACTTGACAAGTATATGTTTCAATATATTTCATTAATAAATATTTATAGACTTTTATAAAAAGTGTACATTATCTGCCATATTTTTCAACATATTTAAAACAATATGTATTTCACTATCTTACAATTACATTACCATATGTTTTATTTCTGCCAGTATCCAAATGCTCTTCCTACAGAATAGATTGGTTTTGCAAGTGGATTCATAAGAAAATTCTTTTTAATAACTCTGATTCTTTTTCTTTCTGTCATCTATTTCTTTATACCTGTCATCCTCCCCTATTACTTATTAACTTGATATGGCTACTAAAGCTTGGAAACATGCTCAAAGCTTGGAATTGCATCCAAGATTTTTTGAAGACAAGAATGTATTTATCTTTGTGGAACTTACATAGCTGTATAAGTGTCTAACATCCTATACAATTCAACATGTATAATGAAGTATGAAACAGGGCCATTATTACAAAAGCAGACATGTCTGCAACAATTGATACAGGAAACATTACAAATCATCTTCCATTTTAAATCCAAGAGTTTTACTTACTGGGAACCCACTGAAAAAAGTGAATTCGATGGAGAACAAAGGTAGTACCTGTTCATAAAACTTTGCTTTAATAAGATTTTATTGTTGGAATTCAAGAGTACTCTAGACAGGAACTTGGTACTCAAGATAAATCCTAATGAAGTATTCTTGTCTCACTGGAGCAGAAGATTGTGTTAAACATCCTCTGGCAACTATCAGAAAAATCCAAGAAGATTTCCAGTTTTGTACTCCATGTACTGCTTTTAATACTTTTCATATGTAAAGTTGATAGGATCATCTCTTATCCAAGGCACAACAGGCATTCAGAGTACTCTGGATACAATACAGTTGTCATATCATCTGTACACTCTCAAGTTTCAGTAGACCCCATCATATTTGTCATGAATCAAACATCTTTTGGTCCATAGAATTTCAAAGAATTTCATTATATTCTGAATTATTGTTATTTTCTTCCAGGTTGCAGTTTTCCATGTTCAATCATTCCAGAATAAAATGTTATTAAAATAGCCTATTTTCTGAAAGCATGTCTGTAGTACAAAATCAAGGATGGCCATGTGCAGGAAAACAAAAAAAATTATTTCAGAAATTCATCCCAAGTGGTGGGTTAACACTTTTATTAGTGTTGATATTGTGAAGAGAAACCTCCCTGAAATTTTTAATTTTTCCATTCAGGAATCTCAGTGCCCTTTTGTCATGCAATGAACCCCTTGACAGCCAGTGTATGAATCATCCTGGTAACAAATCCCACACTCCTTGCTATGAGGAGGAATGAGAGGACAGATGAAAATCTGTACAGTGGAGGTTCAAATCCTTGACGTGATTCTGGACTGTTTCTCTAATGAGCCGTGCAAGGGTTTACCTGTCACTACCTCTGAGGAACTTGTGGAGCCCATGGGTTCCCTCATATCTCACCCTTGCCTCCAATGACCAGAGCAAATGGAGACTATTTACCCCGTCAGGCTCACTCATGTCCTTATGAAATGTATGAGGAGGATGTGGGATCAAGGGACATGCTCCTCGCCTCTTCAGACCTAAACCCTGTTGTGTGCTTGTTCCTTTATTGATTCAATCACTGCCTTCACACCACTTTGATTAAGGATCTAATCTAATCTCTTTCTAAAGTGAGTTTCTTAGTCATGCCCAGTCAGTGAGCTATTGAGGCAGACTACTCCAAGAAGGTGTTTGTTCACTTAAAGTAGAAGAAACATTTTCTTCTGGTTGTAAGAAGGATATGCAAGGAAGGTGGATAATGTAGCTGTTTTTTATTAGTTTTCCGTTAATCATGGACCTAATAATAAGCATTTAAAATGTAACATCTTAACTGTTTGGATAAAACAAATGTCACTGTTAGGAGGAGAGAGAAAAAGTCATCAGCTCTGATTAGACCAAGGGAAGCATACATGGTATGATGAAGTCTGATGCCTTGAATTCTTCAGGGATGTTCAAATAATTCAATGCTCTGTTCAAAAATAACTGGCAGCAAACAGATTGTTGTCTCGTGTATTAGGCATAGGCATTTCAGGCTGAAATACCTCTTACCTGTGTCTCATCCTGACAGGTATTAAATGGGGGCAAAAGAAACAAAATTTTTACATGTTTTAATTCAGAGGCACAGAAAATCAGAAAGTATTCCCAATTCTTGTCCTATGTGCACTTTGACTAATTCCAAGCCTGCAAACATGCAGCAGATCACTTCTTTCAGTCAGTAATCAGTGAGCAGTTTACCAATACTCAGAAGTGGTAAGTCAGAACATAGGGTAAGTCAGAAGAATATGCCTCCCATCAAAGTGCTTTCCACTTCATCATTGCTAGGGTTAAAAAAAGAGGAGCTTGGGAAAATAATTCATGTCTACAACTTTTAGTGGAGATATTTAGAGTATAAAGTGAGGTGCCTCTTCTTCTGCATCTGATTGTATATAGGTCAGATAGTCTACTTCTAATTTGATGTAGGTCTAGGATACGTTTATAGATATTATTTCAATGGGATAACTTAGCAATTACCAATACTCAACTATCTGTAAAATATTTCACAGCAGTGCTGCACAACTTTTTTACATTTTCTTCATATACTTTAGTATATGAAGAAAATTGCATCAGAGCTCTTTTCAAACTGCTTGTATCATGCTGAGGATATATGCAAAGAATTATATTAATCAGGAATGTTTTCTTGTGATCTTATCTATATTATAATATTTTATGGACACATGCATTTCTTCATGTATTACTGCATATGTTAGTACATAATAATAATACGTAATAATACAATATATTATACAGTGCCTTGCTAGTTTGGAAGCTATACAATAGTCTTCTGTGTTCACATTGTGAGGATCAACAGCTGGACACAGTATATGGTTCCAAGGTTTCCAGTCGTGGGACAAGAACTTCTGCAAAAAAATCAATATTTTTTTCTGTCAATACTTATATACAAGATTAAAAAAAATTTAAAATAGTTTCTCTGCTGTATAGGTTTATAGAGAAAATGTGGCAACAGAAAATGGGGTTTGTTCCTCCTGAGTACTACGCAGCAAACAACTAGAGATATAAATTGAATATGTTAGTTCAAAAGAAGTGAAATGAGCATTGACACACCCCCTTTCTGCTGAACTCTTTCACCTTGTTCTCTTCTTTTATTCCCACTTTATTTTTCTCTTTACCCTTCACATCATCTGGCAGAACGGATAGTAAATACCTTAAAGAAGGGACAGGAGTTTTTTTAAAAAGCTGCCCATGTACCTCAGTTCTGAGTTGGTATTCTTAGGCACTATCATAAACACTTAATAATGACAACATTTATCAAAGAATTGATGCAAAGGTGACCTATTTTAAAATAAATATTTCTCTAGTACATATTAACCCTGAGGGTTTGTTCCCTTGTATCTCTTTGCTGTTCCCTTAGCCTGATTTCTATATTCTATATATTCTCTTGTTACTGCTGAACCATTTAAGATTAAGAAAAAAAGTTCCACTACATTAGTTGGGGTTTTTACTAAAAAATTTACGATTATAGAAATACACATAAGAGATTGCAATGTTTATTAGCTAGGAATAGAGATGAGCATGTAAGTATTTTCCTGTCCTATGTAAGTAACATTCAAATAGCCTGTTATGCATGTTCTCATAACTGATTTGTCTTATTTAATTTCATTTCATTTCATTCAAAATTTCCATAAGTTTACCAGTGTTGTATTTCATGTTTCCAAGATTTTTTTGTAATCTTTCTTGTAGTGGACTTGGCACCATTAGGTCTGCAGCTGGACTCAGTGATCTTAAAGGTTTTTTTTCAACCAAAATGATTCTATGATTCAATCATTTCTTTAAGTTCTTAAGACTCCTCTAATTTTTGGTTCTGGTGACATTCTGACAGTCTAGGTTAGCACATTGCCCTCACAAATATCTGTGTAGATAACTGATCTTTCATAGGCTTCTATAAAACCACTGAATCCTATCCTTGTTAAAAACACCTCACTGGTGTGAACAGAAATGATTAGACTTTGAATCAAAACAGTTTGCTCTTGATTCAAGTCCATCCAATAATCCATTTGATTAATTCTTAGAAATTCTCAAAGTCAATAGGCTGTTGATTTCTTACTGGGAATAAAACTTTCCTTGAAAGTCTGAATCTAGTACTTAGAAGAAAATATGTTCATGACATTATGTTGTGCAGAGCCAGACTGAAAAGAAATATCTTCTCATCAGTTTGCAGTCCCTCTAACTGAAAGTGACCAAGGGATAGAAACAGGATTCCTTAAATGTCCTTGGATATGGTGCTTAGTCAAATTAATAACTGAACGAATTGGAAAACACTAAGAGAAATAAAATCTATTATCTTCAGGTTTGTTGTATAAATTAAAGATTTTGTTTCATGGTTTTGATAAAGACTTTCCTATATAAACACTACACATGAGAATAAACTTCCTTTGAGAAACCATGACAACCATTGCCAAGAGTCTGAGAGGATGGACAGTGCAGCATTTTCTTCTCAGATTTGGTATTCAAAAATATTTTGATTTTAGAGAAATACAGAATTTTAAAATGTTGCTTGCAATAGGACACAGAGTAAATCCTTTTCCTTTGAGATTGAGTCAGGAAGCCAGAAATCAGCCTCCACATCCTTCCTGTATATCTTCTTTCCCTTCCACTCCACTCTGCTCTCTCCCCATCTGCTACATCTGAAGTTGTCTCCATGTCTCAAGGATAATTTCCTGATATTCACTAGCAAGGAGAATGTTTTTAAAATAACATTCTTCCACACATACCATGTGCACCTCACATGATCCATCCTACTTCAAAAGTACTCTTCCTTGATCACTCAGGACCTGCACAGAGCCAACACTGGGAGCAGAAATAGGGAACCTTTATGGCAGGGGTCTAATTGAGGAGCAGGATATGTGAGCAGGAAATTTATTATAGCAGTGTTGTTGGTACAGTAAAAAGCCTGTGCTTGCTTATACTGGGCTAGAGTTTCCTGCTCAGGTGCCTAATCCACTCTACAATTAAATTACTTTTTTATTTATAAAGATAATAAGAAATTATAATAGTGACTGGTCTGTATTTTAATGCTTTTATTAAATTGATTGCATAGAAACAGAATATGGAATTGGAAGCAATCAAGGAGAGCAATGAAAAGACTGGTGGATAAAAAGGGCAAATTCTTTCCAAGCACTGAAATTTTCCATGAAAACACAGGGTGACATATCCCTGAGGCCATCACCTGAGACACTAACCTAAAACTAGATCACTGTGAGAGAGACCTTGGTCCATCTAATGTGAGAAACATACAGTCTCATTTATGATACTTTTCTACCTGTTGGAATCCCTTTTCAGGAGGAAGGCAGGAAGCACAGAAGGTTTATTTGTGCCAGGTTGCTATTGCACTCTAAAATTTATCAGGTGCTTATCTATTCTTCACTGCCAGCAAAAGGAACAACTATAGCAAATGAATTAAAATGAAAAAAAAAAAAGGAAATAAAACAGTAAAAAAATCTGTGGTCAATTTTAATGATCTACTTTCCTCTTAATTAATTTTAATTTACATATTCATAGTGGAAATATAATGTCATTAGCCAGTGTACTTGATCATAATATTCCTTTAATATTTTTTCTTTATTTTTCTATTCTTAATCTTGATGCTCTTGATAAGTGAGTGACATCCAACATGCTAAATTGGCATGAGATATGAAAGATATGAAAGTCCTTGTAGCCTCAGAACTGAAGCTGATAACTAGGTCAAGTATTTCAATAAATGCTGTGTCTAGATGAAATAATAAACATCAAAAAATTAATGTACATCCAAAATATGTTGATCTAAGGTTTCTGATAATCACTAATTAAGTAGACACTCCTACACATATTCTTGAAATAGTCTTCTCAAGGTGCTAATTAATAAGCACAAATCTCTTCTGACATATGTAGAAGCATTTAAAAAAATATGTTTCTAGCTTCCCATGAGACTTGAGCATTATGGCCAACTGGTTTCACCAAAAAAGACAATTTAATGTAGATCTGAAAGTAGAGCTTTTCTATTTCATTATCAACATATTGTTAGCAAAAACTGGGTTAGATTCTGATATACTTACTTGTGTAAGAGAAGCAATGTATATAATTTATGCTGCATATGAAAAAAACCCATTCTGAATTCAAACAAAACTCATTGGTGGATAAAAGTATCTCTTATCAGAGTTAAAACATCAGATTCTTATATTTACTAAGGCTGAGATTATGACAGCTTGCTTACTCTGAGCATGTTTGTAAACATAGGCTCACAATTCACTGATGCACTGAATGAACAAATTCCACCTGGAAAAAACACCGGGTTCCATTCTGATCCCTGTTTCACCAGCTGATGGCCAGAAGGAAGGGGAGGGCATTATTCACACCAAGTCATCAGGTGGGGGTCATATCTGCAATGCCTGGGCTGAGAAGGATGCAAACCTTGCTTCAGGTGTCATCTGAGCAGGTTCAGGTGGGGTCCACAAGAACAGCACCAAATAATTTCCAGCAGAACGAGATACAAGGTGGGCGACACCAACAACTCACTGGTACCCCAAAGGGTGAGGATGCCACAAGCACAGGTCTGGGATGCATGTGCGCTGGGGAAAGCCACTCTGTACTTGCTAAGCCCAATCCCAGTGCTGCCATGATACCTCATCCCCTGGCAGAAGCTGATCTGTGGGTCATAATGTGTGCCCAGGCTTTGTCTACCTTGGCTTTTGCTTTAATAATAACAATAAAAATAGTACAGTAATAATTCACCATTAATAACAATATAAAATATTGAAAAATAGTAATATTCCCTATTCACATAAAAATGTCTGCACTGAATCAGACCAAAGGTTCGTTTACCCTCATGCTGTCTCCTGACACTGGTCTGGGCACATGCTTGGAGCTGTATAATCACTAGGACACATGCAGTAGATGTAAAGTTCACTAGGACCTACTCCAGCTCATTCCAGCTGGGAATTGGCCCACTATTGCTAAGCAGCCCACTGCAAACCTCCATGCTCTCTACATGAAATCTCACCACCTACTGAGTGTGCTATTTACATCTGGATCTAAACATGCAATTTAATATTGCATACAAATTTCAAAGAAAAGCAACATCCAGAACTAACATGTTTCTGACAATTAGGCAGACTTTTAAATTTTTCTTCCCATGCAACTCCTAACTTTGTTCCATCTAGTTTGAGGATATGGTGCCTGTATAATAGACTGCCTTTAAAGCAAGAAAGAGCTTTGTCTTGTACTAAGTTTACATGTAAGTGTAAGATGTTGAGTGATGTGCAAGTTTTTTACAGGGCTCAAATGTCAAGTCTCTGCTCACCAGCAAACATTACACTTGTATTACAAAAGCCAGTGATGAGAACAACAATCATGATCTCAGCCAAGAGAATTGATTAGTGCAGGATAGCACCACACACAAAGCTGTTTAGCACATCACTGCAGGCATAAATGTTACTTCAGCCTTTGCAAGGAAATACTTGCCCAAACAATTCACAGGTAATGTCCTAGATATCAAAAGAAGATGTTGCAGTACTGACATTTATTCTTACGTATGAATATGAATATTTCATGATCAAGCAGATTAAAACATGTCTTAAGGAATCATTCTGAGCTGTTTACTACTAAATTCCCTGCTAAATCAAAGCTGCATTTCTATACTGTTTTGGTACAGAATATAGTAAATATATTTAAATCAACCAAATCAGGACATACATAGCATTTGTTCAACTAAACTATTTAACAATGGTGAGAAAAAGTAGTAGTTGTGTGGAATTAATATAATGAGTTGTTGTTGCTAACTATTAAAATAGCTGCAAACTAATTTTCCAGCAATTCTTTCATGCTCAGAAGAACAAGCTGAGTTTGAGAACAAGAAAAAAATTGATTGTTTTTGAGAGTCTTGTATAAGTTAACTCAAGCACCACCCCCTCCCCACCTTCCTCTGTTTGTCCTCACCTCACCTCTGAATCATCTGTTCAATCTGCCCTTTCTCCATCATGCTGTGCTGAACTCATTGCTTCAGTCATATGAAATGGGAAGCTGGGAGACAGAAATGGTTTGCGCAATGTTTCCCATTCAGAAACAGTAAAATGAAAACGATAGGAAAGGACGTCAGGCGCCCGATTGTACACAGAGGGACGTGTCCTTTCAACGAGCTAGGCTTACAAGTAAGAACCAAAGACTTGGTTTTGAAGAAAAAATGTATTTTTTACTCTAATGGTGCAAGGTCTTGATTCAACAGAAACAGCCTAATACTCAACGTGTTCTTCATATTATGCTTGCTTTTGAGTAACAGGTGAGCTGGAGTCTCTGCACACACAGCATCCATTAGGGAGTGCTTTTGTACACCTGCAGCATTTTTGTGCTCATGTATAAAGAGCTGCCTTACCTTGCTGCAAACTCCCAAGAAGAGCCAGTGGAACACAGTGGGAGGCAGGCAGTGCCAGGGATAAAGGCGTGAGTGTCTCCCAGCAGGGCATCTCCCAGGCCATTTAGCAGCTCTCCTGTAAGTAAAACAGATTTAAAAACCCTGCCACCATACCAATTGTGGCTATCTCCTAAACCCAAACATTTCAGGGAGTATATAGTTTGCATTTGTCCTTCATAGCTCTTGACATGACAAAGATCTAGTTACTAGTTCCAGGTAGACTTGCACTTTGTGGCAGCTTTCACTTCTTTTCCAGGAAATGGAAGAGAGTGATTCTTCCTCTCAGCTGGGGATTTAATGATTTTGACATTAACTTGGGTTCATTGCTTTCCTTCAAGTATTTTGCATTCTTTACTTCTAGATAATTGTTCATCAGGGCAATTATAGAAAACAGCACAACCTGGACCCCCAAAGTAGTGAAAATTCAATATTTTAAATTAAATCCACACCAACTGCGAGGCCTCATCTCCTTGAAAATTAAAATCACAGCTCCTTCTTTCATGTTGTTTTTATCAAATCAGCATTTAGGGACTGAAAGGATTTTTTATACTAGTCTATTTGACTTTGAGGGTGGAATTGCCAACTGCTGAAGCAAGAGATTCCTAACCCAGAGCAATTTCTCTTCAAAGTAGGAATTTTAGAAAAAGATTTTCATTAATAGATTCTTACTCACGCTAAATGTGAGCATTTCAGGATGTTGAAGAAACTCCTAGAGCACAAAAGCAAAGAAGAGAGATGGGCTTCTGGAATCTGCTTGCCATTCAGTTGAAAAAAACACCAACTAATGATTGTGAATTTGATATCTCATAAAACATTGCAATATTTTTCTTTGCTTCTCACAAAATTAAGCAATAGGTTCTACACCACAGAGGCAAACATAGGTAGAGATCAACAAGTATTGAGAAGCCATGCAGGATAAGTATTAGGCATTGGTTATCTAATTAAATATTATGGCTATTGATGAATGTTAATGGAAAAATCAGAAGAATTATTACTTTTTTTTCTTTTTACTATCACATTATAACAAAACCAAATCCTATTATATAGGAAATTTCCTTCTGGTCAAAGAATTTAATGTTAATAACAATTAATGCAGCAGAAAGATATAAAATTCACTATGAAGAATAAATGATGGTACTAAGCAGAAATTGTTTATATTAATTTGCTTTTATGACTTCACACTGACTCAAATACAGGTAATTTCAATGTACTATGACAGAAAAATGAAAACAATGATGATCCTTTATATACTCTGTGTCACATGGTCTGATTCTTGCGGCTGTCCGTTACAGGAGCTGGACTTCGATGATCCTTGTGGCTCCCTTGCTAATCAGGATATTCTATTGTATGATTCTCCATTTTCTAAAACACGGTATTAGAATCTCTATGTTATAAAAAAGTTATTAGCCTGCAAAAAATTCTATTTTTCTCTTCATCACAAATAGAAATAAACTACCCATGGCAAATATGGCTGGTGTAGTGCAGGCTTTTTTCTGACCTAAACAGCTGGCTGCAAGATGTATACAGTTGATATAGATATATAAAATAACAGAAACACATTATTACTTACACTCCACTAACCAAAACCTCTAAAAGGATTGTCAGGGACATGGTTTTTACTCATAATTTTGTTATTTGAAGAGCCATTTGATGAGAACGGGTAGTGGTTTCTAATATATAGTATTACAGGCCAATAAGGAAAAAGACCAGCACCACCACCAAAAAACCCAGAAAAATGTGGAGCACAGAATTAAAGTAAAATTTAAAATAATTCCGTATGTTTTAGAAAATGTACGTTTAGATGCAAAGTACTTTTAGTTGTTTAATTTGAGACTCGGATACAGGCATCACTTATGGTGTCTATGGACAAAAACTGAAAAGAAACTGAATTTTTTGTTACCTTTGTTCCAGAATGTTTTCCCAAAGCATTCCAAAATGCTTTGGTACAGCGATCAAAAGTAGGTGTGCATGAATATCTCAGTGCATCATTTGACCTTTGATTATCACATTGTTTATTTCTCTTCTAAATGACATTCCTTCTTTGTTAAATGACATTTATCCTCCAGTCCCATGTGGGTTAGCTGGACCACTTTGTAAAACTTCAGTGCCATTACTGAAAGCAGAGTAAATAATGAGGAAAATGGAATGCTGCGTGCCAGTCCCCTCGACAAGAGTGAGGAATGCAGACTTGCAGGGCTTAGCTGGCCCTGCTGCAGATTGTCCCTGTGAAGGGAGGAGCCTGGTGTCAGAGGACATGTCTGTAGGGCACAGCAGGGAAAGCAGACAATATTGCTTGAATGAGAGAAGTGCTGTAAGTTTCTCTTCAATATTTGTCAGGAGCAATGCTGGAAACGTGGCCTTCCAGTTGCCATGGTTACAAGCAGACTTTCATACAGACTGGTAACAAAAAAGTGCCCTCCAGTTATTTGTTGCCTGTTTCACACGTTCCCCACTTTTCATAATGATTTATTCCAATTGCCTAGCACTTCTCATAGAAATATTCATCACCGTCTGGGGCTCAGTTTTTCATTCTTCTTCAGCTTCCACTAATAATTCAGGACATCGAAGAACTGGAACAAATAGTAATGTTTTAACTTTTTTTTTTTTAATACAGCAATTGCCTGGATATTCATAAGTTAATTTTGTATAAAATTTAGTGTTTAAGACAGGATTTCAGCCATACGTGACTTTTCTTTTTCCTTTTTCCCCCTATACATAAATATGCTAAGTAATTAGCAAATTAATCTCCTCATGTAGCTTTTCAAAATTGTTTTTCAGCCTCTGTGCCTACTATAGAGCACACAGACAAGGCTGAAAACCAAAGTGAGAGCTGAATTAACTATTTCCAGTTCACAAAATTAAAAAACTTCAAAAACATAAACTAGGAGAAGTAATTGAAACTTTGGTTTTTCCTAGAGCCGTTGTAATGATCTACCATATGTACTATAATGAGGGAAAGTATCACAAGGTCTGTATCATCATTTTAAGCGTATAGGAAGGCTATAAGCTTTTTCAGATAAGTGGATTTTGTTCCCTAACTTGGTCCCTGGACTGAACATTTACCCTGGACAGAAGAAATTCTGTGACTCTGGGATCATTCTCTGTGGTGCTCCCATTGGTATAGCTTGAGAAAGAAAAGGTACAGCCTGACAGTCAAGATTCAGATTTTTCATGAGCATTCCATTGCACTGAGTGGCTAAAGCTACAGAAACCATTCAGGTAACATCAGGTCAACTTCAAGCCATGACCACCTCATGAGCAAACTGTGTCTTCCCACGCACGTAATTTGTCCCAGGAGAGAGTGACTGGGTAAGGTACTTCCTCTCTGTTCCTTCGAATGCAATGCAGATTTGTCAAAAAGGGGCTTCTGGCACTGAGAGACCCAGGGAGAGCTATTTAAAGTCCTCAACGTGTATCTTCACTGACAACCCTTCAGTACCACTCAACATGCAATCTACTATCCATAATTGTCTCTTGACTTCGGTAGTTGAACATCTGTCTGCTGGGGATAATAGCACTTTTAAAGTTAATCTGTATTTGCACAGCCTCTACAGAAGCTGTTTATCAAAGCTTATTAGATGCTTGAATTGCTGAGTCTGTCATACGGTTTTTATTTTTCTTTAATTATTAACAATATAGCAAGTAATTTCCTTAGCAGAAAGAAGTCCCCTCTGTATTATTATAATTTCATAATAGATGCAATAGCAAGTCTTCGTAATTTGGCAGTGTCCTTCTACATGTTTTAAACACTTCCTTCACAGCAGGTTTTTGTTTTCATGAAAAACAGTCTTTCCCACTCCATTCTTTCCCGACACTCTTTCCAGTGCAGATAATGCTTGTTGGTGTGGAAAAGCACAGTATATTGAAGTTATCACAGTCATACCCTGGGCAGAGTTCAAGGTGAATCAGCAGATCACTTTTTGGGGGGAAACATGAGGAGCTCCATCCAATGCAGCAGCCATTGCATATGCCAGTGGCTGTGGGTAAACAGAGGCACAAGGCCAGAATGGGAAGGAGATTTTGATCCAATCCTTCGAGGATAAATGGCCACTACAGGGGATAAACATGAAGCCAGGTGCTTCCACTTTCACATGAAAACAAATTATCAAAGGGAAAGCTTTCAGTCTGGGCTTGCTCTGCATAAGTTCACACCAGTAATTAGTCACTGGTGCATTTTGGACAGGTCTGGGTTTTCACATAGTGTTTTGAATTCCTTTCTCATCTTCTTACCATCCTATTTTTCTCTCAACATAGTCTCAACTTCCATGCTAAATAAAGTTCATTAAATTCATCATTTCTGCAAGAGTTTGTGACTATTCAAGTTTTATGTCATTATTTGAATTGAAAAGAAAATTATGATTATTATTGTTACTTTGTTATTATTATTATTACCCCTGAAAAGAGAATTGGCTTTAGTATTGCCAAGGATGGCCGGGAACATAAATTTCAGGAAGCCAAAAGGACTCCTATGAAATCTCAACTAGATTTTAAAGATGCTATTTTTGTAGGGAGCAATGTCAGTATTGCTGCCTGTCCCATCAAGGAACAAGTTTCACTACTAGAACAGATGACAGCAGGCAGGCAAATGACAGCAGTGTGATGCCCTGTATTGCAAAAATCAAATCTTCTGTTTGATGCGTAGATTTTGAGGCAGCTCCAGAAAACTAGCCTTTATTTTTCAGCATTTCTATTTTTTATTTTGGACATCTATGGCTTCAAATTCCTTTCTTGATCTATTTTTCCATCAGTATTTAACACCTTCTGAAAAGAAAGTTGGTTAGATGATTTTTAAAATATCGACCGAAGAAACCTTTGACCAAGTCAAACAGGCAGTGTATTATTAACACATAAAGATGGTTATTCTCGGTCTTTCAGACTGAGTCTTGAAGTAGAAAGAACATGAAAATAACTAATCCATATTTCTTTTTCCAAGAGCTGTGTGATTTAAGAGGTCTTCTCACTTTTGTCCAGACATTGACAAAATGGCAGTGTCTACTCAATCCTGTCTTACCAGAGGGGAGGAGTTATCAAGACGTTCTTTGAATACAGACACAATAACAAATTATCAGGAGGAAA